GCGACCATTTTTACATTTTTTACTATAACTCAAAAAGTAGTAGAGCGATTTTGTTCATATTTTATATGTGAATACTATAAGCATGGCACACTGTCTAATGACGCTTTAGGTAGTAGGCGACCATTTTGAAAAATGGCGACCATTTTTACATTTTTTACTATAACTCAAAAAGTAGTAGAGCGATTTTGTTCATATTTTATATGTGAATACTATAAGCATGGCACACTGTCTAATGACACTTTGGGTAGTAGGCGACCATTTTGAAAAATGGTGACCATTTTTACATTTTTTACTATAACTCAAAAAGTAGTAGAGCGATTTTGTCCATATTTTATATGTGAATACTATAAGCATGGCACACTGTCTAATGACACTTTGGGTAGAAGGCGACCATTTTGAAAAATGGCGACCATTTTGACATTTTTTACTATAACTCAAAAAGTAGTAGAGCGATTTTGTTCATATTTTATATGTGAATACTATAAGCATGGCACACTGTCTAATGACACTTTGGGTAGAAGGCGACCATTTTGAAAAATGGCGACCATTTTTACATTTTTTACTTTAACTCAAAAAGTAGTAGAGCGATTTTGTTCATATTTTATATGTGAATACTATAAGCATGGCACACTGTCTAATGACACTTTGGGTAGTAGGCAACAATTTTGAAAAATGGTGACCATTTTTACATTTTTTACTATAAATCAAAAAGTAGTAGAGCGATTTTGTTCATATTTTATACGTGAATACTATAAGCATGGCACACTGTCTAATGACGCTTTGGGTAGTAGGCGACCATTTTGAAAAATGGCGACCATTTTTACATATTTTACTATAACTCAAAAAGTAGTAGAGCAATTTTGTTCATATTTTATATGTGAATACTATAAGCATGGCACACTGTCAAATGACACTTTGGGTAGAAGGCGACCATTTTGAAAAATGGCAACCATTTTTACTTTTTTTACTATAACTTGAAAAGTAGTGGAGCGATTTTGTTCATATTTGGTATGTGAATACTATAAGCATGGCACACTGTCTATTGACACTTTTGGTAAAAGGCAGCCATTTTTCAAAATGACCACCATTTTTTACTCTTACTCGAAAAGTAGTGGAGCCATTTTGTTATTGGTAATGGGGAAGAGGGTTTGCACCCATCGTGCCTCCCCCCCCCCCCCGCCACACCAATGATCTTATACAAATGGTCACCCAAATACTTGAATTGGTGATTATTCTGATATACATGTAACATTTTAATGTTTTTTTTTATATTTGCAAATCAAGGGTAAGGTAGATGATAAATATTATGTTGTGGCATACAGATTCATGAATTTAGTGTTCTTTGGCATTTGCTGCGCTATGGAGTTTGCATATTTCTAGTACTTTATTCAATTTACTGGACATAAGTGAATGATAAATGAACAAAAGGCACAATACAGAAAAGAAAATAATTTAAATTTTATTTGCTTATTTCAGGATGTATGGCATGGGTAATCAGCATGTCAAAAACATATAGATAGAATATGGTGGAATAACAGCAGGGAATAGATGGAAAAACAGATTGCATGTGGAATTGCCACAATACTTCACCGGTATTTATTGTGAAGAACAACTTTTATTTAATTCACTGGAAGGAGCTGTTGACATATGAACAATTAGGATGATAAATGATATGGAGAGCTTGAGGAATGACCACATTACTTCACCAGTGTTTATAGTACATATATATTAGCTGATTAAAAAATAAAAAGACATATGCAACATTAACAATAGGCATAATATATGATACAGGATGGCACACAAGGATTTATGTACATACTGCAAATCATATTCAAGGATATTTAAATGATACCAGATGGAATGATGATTTGTGACAGTTGTGATTCTTATAGACCATGATGTGAGTCAACTCTGGAGATGCCCCCCCCCTCACACACAAACAATAGCATTTTGAATCAAGTGTGTACATGCCACCCCTCCCAATAAACTTTAGCAACATTTCAAAGATAAAAGACTGATGTTGATATAATTCAGTACAAAGAGGAAAAATGGAATTTTTTGCAAGGGTTAATATAGTATGGTAATTACATAGAGATACATGTATGTGATGGCTTGATAGCATATACTTTGATCAGCATTAGTCAAGTTTTGAAATCACTTTATCCCGCAGCAAATTTTTTTACCAAGCGCTGGGATATGTCAGGTCTCAAACAATTATATCCCAGCGTTGTCAAAAAAAAAATTACGGGACAGTGGGTTTGAAAACCTGACTGTCCCGTAGCTCAGTGCTACAAAGTGCTCATACGGGATAAAGGTGTTTGACTTCGTGAATATCCCGCGAGCCCTATAAAATTACGTGACAAGTGTAACTTCGATTCATCATATCCCGATCTGTGAAAAACATTTGTCGGGGTCGGGACTAATAATCAGATCTTCAAAATGCACCAAGAATGTGTGGATAATGGGGAAAATACTGAATATTCAATGATAGTAGTAATATGAAATGATCAAATAATGTGGGTAATATGGGTATGTCGTGATACAAAACTCGAATTCTAAAAGTCGCCATTTTGTTTACTTCAAAATTTGAATCTTGAATTTTGGTCTTATTTCCAAACGAAAATTTCCCAAACTCACAAGAAATGATTGAGATATTGGTTCGAATCTTTTGAACTGTTTATTTTGAATTTAAAGTCGGTTTTAATTTCAGAAAAAATCGACAGACAGATGACGTCATTCAATGGTAATTTCAAAATATTCTAAAAATGGTTAACATCGTCCAAACATCACAACGACGTGTGGTATTCGTAAACCAGCCGGCGAAAATTCGAACAAACGAAGGTCTGGTAAGCAAGAGAATTAAGTAGTTAGGTCTGTCTTCTCCTGAGCTCCGGGGGTTTCCTTTCTCTTGATTAGTTGTGGTCATATCGGGGAATTTGTGTTGCCTTATGAAGGAAAACTATGTGACGTAAAAATCATAACATTGAAGTGTTACTATTTATTTTTATTATTGAAAAGCTTAGCATGTACACAGTACCACAGGTATATGTTACAACACAACATTCAATGTACCACCCTTCTTATATCGATAACCAGATGATTACTGGCTGGCTATTTTGGCCGTCTTTTTGTCTTAGTGACCAGTTACTATTTGACGTAAATTCAGTCGTAATATCAAAAGTTCGTTTAAGGTGGCATATAACCCTTTTTATTTTTTTGTGAAGTCACTCAGTAAAATTACGATTTCTCTGCACCCTGATGTCCAATCAAGATCTTTCGGGGATCTATGTGTTCCTGACACGTTTGGGCATAAATTACGTCAATTTCGCGTGCAAACTCTGTGTGGACGTTAAAATTCTCGGATGTCCAAACGTGTCAGGAACACAAAGATACTCGAATGATATTGATTGGGCATCAGGGTGCAGAGAAATCGTAATATTACTGAGTGGCTTCACAAAAAATAAAAAGGGTTATAAGCCACGTTAACGGGTTTAAATTAAAATGCAATAAATAATTTGCATACACTATTGGCGTAAAGATGTTGCAACGCCTGTTAAATAACGTCTTAACGCCCGCAATTAAACATTTCAACGCCGGACGTTTACGCCTGTATATGTTGTTTTAACGCGTGTAAAATTTACGTCTGCGCGGGCGTAATTTACGCCTACATGATATACACGGGCGTAATTGTACGTCTGTATGGGCGTAATTAACGCCTACACACCCGCAAATAACGAGTGTATACAATGGGCAGATTGGCCAACAATAGTGTAGGTGTAGATTACACGTGTCCAGATGTAGATTACACGTGTCCAGATGTAAATCACACGTGTCAAGATATTATGTGAATTAAGATGTATAAATGAGTGCGTTCAACTATCATGCATACACCCATAACCATCGCGTTAACAGACGTCACCGTACAGCGTCAAAAAATACAGTAGTACAGTTTTCTGTACGGTGACGAAAATTAGTTGATTTAAAGCAAAAACTATGACGAGGGTTTTAAAAAATAATTTAATGAAAATAAACGCAATTTTGGATGTAATAAAAACAGCATTCTCTTAGATATGGATTTAATTTTCTAATTATAATAAAAAATTTCAGGACAACATTTCAGAAAAAACATCTTCCCTGTCTCAAAGTCGAAATTATTTTATCATCATTTCCTGGAGCTTATGCATTGGCCCAACATATGCACCTGTTTAAATTGTAAGAAAATAGCCCGCTATTTTTATAGGACAGGTGATTGGACACACATACACACACGTACACAGTAGGCTACTTCATGTAACCTGGTAGCTATTTCATAAAAGCCGTACGATTTCAAGCTAAATAAACATTTTGTCTAAAATAATCAACAAGGGTCCTAGAGAAACCATCTTACAGGATCAATACAATTTTGCATATGGGTAATGGGAAATATGTTCTAGTTATATACTGTAAATATGATGTGGTGAGATAGAAACATGTTACGTATGAGGTTCAGTCATTTTTGTTTGGATGAGTTGCATCGTTTGTTCCTGCAGTCGGTAGGCTCCGATCCATCAGAGACCTGGAGGTAATTTTTTTTTATTTCTTATTTTCTTCATTTAACAATAAATCAAAATACAAATTATTTACAGTGAACACTTGATATAGGTGTATATACTGCTTGATTAAACATAAATTGAATTTAATAATAGCGTAAATGAAATAAGTATAAATAAATTATAAGAGCACATTAATAGTTGTTGGGTTGGAGCAAGTTACATGACATACTATATATACTGGGAGTGGCTGTGCTCTACAACGATTGTCAGACAGCTTTTAAACTCCCTGTCAATAGTAGTGATGAAATGGTTCATTGTACACCTCTGAACAAGCGAAACGCGGTAAATCTACCAGATCTTCAAAGCTTTCATCCCCACCTTTCAAATGGTATATTGCAACCATCAGACAAATTGTGTCATTTACTTTTCATATGTTTAAGCACTGATACACGGATTATAAATCTGTACCATTCAGACCCGTTAGATAATATGAACATAACTGCTCACTGTCACCAGGCATTCTTTTCAAACTCGATCCTTGTAACCTCATCTCGTTAATCGATCCACCCGATTCTGTAAACCCAGCAGAATAATACCCAATATACCAGTGGTGGAACATATCATCAAGGCCCTTTAGCCAAAACTGATGCGCCTGTCCTTCTTTGGGATAAGCAAACATTCTAGCCAACCCAATTGCAAACTGGAGTACTTCAACATCATGTTCGGTTCTATTTAAAGTCATGGATACACATCCGAATCCTTCTTTGCCAAATACACCGGTGTATTTATCAAGTGGTAGAGCCGGGACCACGTCCTCTGGGATGGCTTGCAGTGATGGCATTTCCACGGGATCACCCCATGGTGCGGGAAATGTACACGCTGTTGTGTTGTTAAGATAACTTGGCAATTCGAGCAATGTGTCAAGAATGTATTCTTGAATGACTGTTTCTGCAACCCATGAGACGTCTGTATATGGACCATTCAAACCAGTGAAGATACCGATGTTTAATTCAGGAACAAACGTCATCAGAGTGTCATATCCCAAGAAGCTTCCGGTATGCTGGACCAATTGGAAACCTATCACAGCAAAAAATGCGTATGAATACAATGAATCCTGACATCAGGATTCATACAGGATATGCACGCAGTGTGCCAAACCGGTATAAATCCTGACGCCTGGATTCATACAAGATATGCACACGGTGTGCCAATCCTGTACGTATCCTGAGTCAAGATTTATACAGGATACGCTCGCAGTGTGCCAAACCTGTATAAATCCTGACGCCTGGATTCATACAAGATATGTACACGGTGTGCCAATCCTGTACGTATCCTGAGTCAAGATTCATACAGGAAACGCTCGCAGTGTGCCAATCCTGTATGAATCCTGACGCCTGGATTCATACAGGATATGCACACAGTGTGCCAATCCTGTACGTATCCTGAGTCAAGATTCATACAGGATATGCTCGCTGTGAGCGAATCCTGTATGAATCCTGTCACCTGGGTACATACAGGATTGGCACACTGTGTGCATATCCTGAACATATCCTGTATCAGGATTTATACAGGATTGGCGCGTGTAGGAATCCAGTATGAATCCTGCCTCCTGGATTCATACAGGATACGCTTGCAGTGTACCAATCCTGTATGAATCCTGATGCCTAGATTCATACAGGATATGCACAGTGTGCTAATCCTGTACGTATCCTGAATCAAGATTCACACAGGATAGGCTCGCTGTGAGCGAATCATGTATGCATCCTGACGCCAGGATACAAATGATATGCACACAGTGTACCAATCCTTTACGTACTCTAAGTCAGGATTTGTATAAGTTTGGGGGAGATGGTTTAATCCGGTTTAAGCTCACTATTATAAATCGATCAAGGGATTGATGATGAAAGGATGGGACAATTGGTACATGTATCTTGCCTAGACTCCCAAATATTCTATGGCGGCCATATTTTGCAAATGTACGTACAGTATAGTGGTTATTTACTGGTAGGGACTCAATATGGGTTTTATTACGAAGGACAATATCAAAACTCGTACGAAACCTTTTCTTGTAAACAAAAAAATCAACAATAAGTATGAATCCCACGAATGGGTTTCCTTGATCATTGATCTTAACCACACAATACTACAGTATATACTTGTTTGATTGCATTTTTGGTTTTTCACGGGTATGATATTCAAGGGACCTCGATTCCGGGCCTTGATTGCAGTCTATGCATTAGGTTTTATGAAGTACTATTTTTAATTCTTCATTTTAGATATCACAGATAAACAGCTAAAATTTGATGTAAAAATATTACCATAGGCCTTTAAAATCAAAGTAACCTGCCATATAGAAATCAATCCTCATCATGTTGCTAACAAACAACAGAATTTGGCATTAATATCAAAGGTAGAACTGGACGATAAATTAATGACAATAAGATATTGTTTTAGATCCGGGTTTTGGATTCTTGACCGTTTTTCAAAATTCAAAAACATTTTAGAAATATTGTTGTCGAGATCTTGCTACCCTGTGAATTTTGTAATGATCAGATAAGGATAAAGTATTTTATTCTTAGGTTGAGTAAACTTGAAAAAAATGTGACGCTTGTCGTTTTTGACGTTGTAAGGATGTTAGCGCCCTATACTGCTCATTGTTTTGTTTTGGTTTTTTGACGCCATAATGTTACGCTAATTGTCCCCAGTAGAGCCCATGGTGTAATATACAGTTCTACCTTTTCGAAAAATCGTCGACTGGTTTTTCTGTATTTTGAATTGATATTTGTAAGAGCAAAATATCAACAGTTACATATATTCGTCTTAAAAGGTTTTCCCTAGGCCGGAAAGAATTGAAATAGGACCGTTTCAAGAAATGAGTGATTAATAGAAATCTGATGTGGGAAGCAAGTGGATCTAATTTACCAAAAAATGTGTATTTAAGATCTAGCATGGACTTTCAATAATATCTATCGAATGCCCATGGATCTAGTACATTTGGGGCACCTGGGATAGGGGCCCGGGGATAGGGGAGTTGATCGTCACTTCAGTTTAGCCATTACATCATGTACATGTACATATCGTGTAAGTCAATATTGTCAATCAACCAAGTATCCGAGTGCTAGAATGCGGAGCTTGGTTGTAGGGGATATTATGTATTGCATATAAAGATACTTTGGAGATTTTTAGACATGGCAATGAGTGAAATAAGCCAGACATATTGAAACGTTTTGGCTTGCTCGGTAGATCTGATTCTCTCTTTAAGTAACCCTGAAAAGTATTACCCAGTAAGAGCATCTAGAATTAGAAAATGTAGCTTTGTCTTCACGCGTCCTTTTGGTATCAGTTATGTTCTCAAATGTCAACCTTTGTGCTTCATTTTGAACTTGGAAGTTGCATTAAATTAATCAAATGTGTGCAGTTGATGTCCATATCAGCCTCAACTTGGATTTTTTTGTTGCTTTCTTACGTGTATTTCCATGTATAGTTACTTAATTAGCTGCTTGCTTGGTTCCTCGCTTTGTTTGTTGCTTATATGGTTGCACACTTGCTTGGTTGCTTGCTTTGTTTTTGCTTGGTCAGTTTCTTGCGTTCTGTTGACTGGTGATTGCAAAGTTGGTCGCTTCCTTTGAAAGTTGGTTGCTTGGATGTTTTGTAGTTTGCTTGATTAGTCGATCGATGGGTAGGTGGTTCCCCGGGGATGGTTCAGTCGGTTGGTCAATTGGTTAGGGTATCGATAATTTTATTTTTCAGTTTTGAGACCGGAAGTCAGATTTCTATCATGATTGCAGATGGGGGGGGGGGGGGTACGTATATGATCAGATTTGATGACGAATATGCAAAATGTTAAAATGGGGGTGAGTTTGAATTGATTCTCTTCACAGGATTTGATATACACATCTGTAAGGAGCATACCCGTTTCCCAGTTTGATTTTCAATCGAAACATTATACCTTGGAAATCCAAGACAAATTAATGCTGTAAGTAACTAATATTAAATGATAACAAAAGATTAATTACTTAGTCTATGTCTTTGTTTTTATAACTGCGGAAGTGTACCACCTTGATTACAGAAGAGATCATCGAGGAATTACTTTAGATTTTATGAATATAATTATTCTTTGCCTCTAGTCTCATTTCTTAAACCTGCCTCTAATTTGTGACAAACTATTTCAGCTATTTGTCAAAACCAAAAGTTACTACATTATAGTCCCCCTCCCCCTTGCACTGTCGAAGTCTACGTCTGTTTTTCAAGTCCCGGGCCCACATTGGTATGTGTAATGTGATATGTGTAAAATATGCATTTATATTTGTTACTTGGAGAGGCACACAGAAGCAAACTCACTGGAGACATTGATAGATAATCAGGATTGAGAATACACGGGGCATTGTACCCGGGGCATTGTATTCTTCGATTTCAAATATATGATTCAAATTCGGAGAGTTATTCTAATTCCGGGTTTCTAATCAAATTATTACTCCTATAGTGATGCAAGACAACAATACACATCATATTCTGTTTTTGAACATTATCACTATAATTATTTTGGGAACATGAGACATCAACCGCCGATATAGATATTGACAACGTGCAGATGTAAAGTACATGTTCATCATCATGCCTGTAGCGACCGGGGGTTCGAGGGGTTCGTGCGAACCCCCGGTCAAAATTTCCCCAAATTTCCCCGGGGGTCATTTTTAACAGGAATTCATAAATTCAACGATCCATCGCTTGTTCGTGTTTTTAGATAGATGGTCCCGTTCGTATTTTTAACGTAATATTTTCCGATTATGCTTCGTTGTTCATCGGTAATTTCCGTATAGCCCACGTGATCGAATCTAGGCTGTTTGATTGGTTTAGAGTTAGACCGGCGCCATATTTATTATTTACTAAAAGTTTTGTCGAAGAATTGCGAAGTTTTCTCTAATATCTTTGTAATGAGAACGACCGTAGCTATACAATAAGCTAAGAAAGATATTTGAACTTAGAAGTAGTCTGTACGCTCTCGAATTTTATCTCTTTAGCTCATAGATCGTTCGCTATTGAGCTTTCAAGTTCTCGTAAGAGACAGATTTTTAAATTTTTTATTTTTAATTTTAAATTTTTATTTTTATAATTTATTTTAATGATTTTCATTCTCAATTGTGGCCAATCCATTAAAAATGTACGGGGTATGAATGCGAAATTCTGGGGGATGATCCTGAACTGAAGAGAAAAATTCTGGGGTATGGATTCAAAATTTTGAGGGGGATGTGGATGCAAAATTCTGAGGGGGGTATGGATGCAAAATTCTTAGGGGGGTATAGATCCAAAGTTCTGGGAGTAGGTATGTTAGCAGAATTCTGTGGGCATGGATGCAAAATTCTTGGGGGTATGGATGAAAAATTCTTGTGGGTCCAGGGCATTGCATCCATACAATTTTTAAAGCAGGGCTGTCAACTTGGGACCACCTAATATGAGTGACTTACAAATGTTGGACACCTAAGTCCAAATCTGAACACTTTTGTCCAAATTTTGAACACCTTTGGCCAACTTTTAAACACATTTGGCCAAAGTTTGAGCACCTTTGCCAAACTTTGATCACCTCAAAATTTTCGCGCTCGCTACGCTCGCTAAATCGTCAACAGGGTGGATAGGTACGAAAATTTCCAATTAGCATGCGTGACATATACTGGAATGGCGCGAACAGATTGCGTTCGGTTTTTTCCGACGTTCGTATTTTTACCGTATCGTTAACATATTTTGAAAAATTTCTACAGAAATATGGTGCATGAATCTTTTTCAGTTAATTTGACATACATATGTCAAATATGAATCTCTAAACTGGAGAAAGTTGTTTACATTTTTGTGTATACACTTATAATAGTGCTGGTATATTTTTTAATAGAAGGTAAAATAAAATTTATAACAAACTAAGCTTTTTTTATGTAACTTCATACACCTTAAGAGGCAAAATCAAAGCATGGAATATTTGAAGTGAAAAGGGAAGTGCGCGCCGCGCGTACGCGCCAAAATTCACACAAAATTTTCAAAAAGTAGAACCCCACTTGAAAAATCCTGGCTACGGGCCTGATCATCCA